AAAAAAAACTGTTCCAGTCTTGGCTCATGGCGGTGACCGAGATAGGTTCACACGCGAACCATACGCGACACGGTCGGTCCATAGTTTGGGCATCCCTTTGAGCCGCCATGGCCATGGTGGAAAATCACCAGCGTCTTCCCTCGATGGGGCGGCCTGACGCAAGGTCGCGCCAAGTGCGGGAATTCCGTGTTATATCCTCTCTGAAGAAAGAACATGAGTGTGAATGGTATTCGAAGGATTTCCCTACATTCTATCCACTTCACGCGCTGTCTGTTAGTGCTCTGGGTCGCTCCAAACTCGACCACAACGCCCTGAACGGGCGCGGTTCAGCTTCGAACTCGCTTCGCATCTGAGCGGCTCGGGTGCTTCTGGTTCATCAGCGCCTAGGAGCTCAGTGAAGAACCCTCCGTGGAATCATTGTTTCGTGGAACATTCCATGTTTTTGAGTTTCCTCCAAGCTCGAGTCGGTCCCACTCCCAGGTTTAATGATGTTTTGTGGGGAGACATTGAGGATGAATGATAAGTTAGAGGAGTGACCAAAATGTTGAAAGTATATAAGGGATCACAAAACATCAACTGCCACCTTGTGTTCTCAGCAGGTGCTTTAGCCTCGGAAAAGGCCTCAGAGGGTGGCAAAAACGATTGGCAAAAAAAGTGGGGATCTTTGGGAGAAGTTTGGCTGGCAGGGGAAGCTGTTGTTTCAAGAAGTCGGGGTGATCACCTGCCCTTCCCCAAAAAATATGATGGCAAGCAACCCACAACTGATGTTCTTCGCCCAGGCGGGTACTATGTGAGTTCCAACGGGCAAGGGTCACCGTTGTGAAGAAGCGTGCGTAAACCGGGATGCAGTTCACCCACATGATCGTGAACAGAGTCGGTGAGACCATGCAAGAAAACCTGAGGGGCACCCTGTTTTTGTTTCCTTCCCAACCCCCCTTATGTCCAATTGCGATACCTCTATCAACCCAAACCTTCCTCCAGGGGCTTGCGCAGATCGTTCTGCAAAGACCTTCGCCCGCCTTCGCCCACCCCGTCAGCCAAGGTCCCCAAATGCTGTAGCCCGGAGCCCATCCAGAGCTGTTCAGGGTCAGGAAGACTTTGGATGTGATGTTTTTCGCATAGGTCGCCTTACGACATCACAGTTTCTGCAGCCCCCATGGTGGAGTTTTTCATTATAGGACCGGATAGCCCCAAATGTTAAATGTTAACAACTTCACCAGATACACACTCTGTAGCAAGAAGAAGAAGAAAAAGAAGAAGAAGAAGAAGAAGAAAAAGCCCGGTGAGAAAACAGGGGTTAGAGGAAGGAAGAGAGTGGGCGAATGTTGTGTCCTGTGTATACGTGGTGATCTGTGTCTGTGATGTGTGTGAAGAGTTGCAGCTCGCCTGCGGGAGTTGCATGGTGAGACTAGAGATAGTTGAGTCAGTTGTTGGTGGTTAGTTGGTGGTTGGCAGGTTGGCGCTTGGTGGTTGGTTGCTGGCTGGTGGTTGGCGGTTGTTGGTTGGTGGGTGAGCGGCGGTGCTGGAACACAAAACAGAACGCCAGGGCGACGCCAGGGCGTACATCCGACCCCCTGCAGAGCACCAAGTGCTGCGCCTGCCACGCAAATCACAGCGGCACAGCGGCAGAGACCCAGCGACGCCAGGGCGACGCTTGGTGGCAGTTGGTTGGTGGATTTGTTGGTGGCAATTGGTTGGTGACAATTGGTTGGTGGCAATTGGTTGCTGGCAGTTTGTTGGTGGCAGTTGGTTGGTGGCAATTGGTGGGTGGCAAGTGGTTGGTGGCAGTTTGTTGGTGAACAAACTGTTGGTGGCAGTTGGAAGGAGGAGGAGGAAGGAAGGAGGAGGAGCGGATACCACACTAAAAGCAGAAACCCCACATGTCAATGTGAGGAATAAAAAAATGGGGAAAAAGAAATTTGAGGGCTGTTAGTGGTCGCAGACTTGGTGGCAACACGGTAAGCCAAATTTGCAGCGTTGAAGAGGAACTGTATTCTTTCTCCTTTGGTGAGGCTTTCCGAACGAGCAAGTTTCGGAAGTGACGAAGCCCAGCAAAACAAACGGGCAAGTTTCGGAAGTGACTGACAACCTCTTCGGACGAAAGCCAAACTCATGTGGATCGTTTAGGACACTTTGTCTGAAGAGAAAGTGGAATTCCTATAGGAGGATTTTGTTTGCTAGTAATTACAAGTGCATCGCTAGTAGTAACAAGTGCCTTACTGGTAATAACAAGAAGCTAGCAATTAGAATTCTAATTAAATTCTTATTGTTACTACTAGTAAGGCACTTGTTACTAGTAGCGAGGCACTTGTTCCTAGTAGCTTGTTACTCCACTGAATACCTTCGAGAAATCGATCCCAAACGTCGAAATGCCCGGCCCCGAAACAACCGAAACATCGTGTGGAAACGATCTTGCCCCGAAGGTCGCTTCAGTCCCTGTTTTCTTGCGACGACACGTCACGACGTGCACAGATACGGCCCTACATCTGGGACGTCTTCTTTGCCCCAATGATTTCCATAACAAGAAGCTAGTAGCAACAGTAGCAAGGGCATCGCTACTAGAAACGAAGGGCACTACTACTAGCAGCATTCTTGCTAATTATTAGTAACAAGAAGCTAAGGTCATGCTTTTGGTGGCTTTGCGCAGGAAACTACGGCATCTTTGCCAACGGAAACGGGACCGCATTCTGTGCCTGAGAACCGCGCCAAAAACTTCCCCGATTGCTCGGCTGCGAAAGCCGCGGCACATTCAGCCGTGCCGTCATCTGCCACACGATTTCAGTCACCGGAATTAACTTCTCGCAAACTGTAGCTGGACTGGTCCCCCAGCGCGGCAGTGCTGCAAGGCAATCCTTGGGCAAAGTGAGAGATGACGTGCGAAAGAACTGACTAGACGTAGATGGATTTGGTCAAAACACGAGCAAATGTACATACTGTGTCCATAAGACTTAAGAAGATGATTAGAACCCCACTAAAACAGCTGTATGCCAGTGGGTCAGTGAAACAATGATTGCTCTTTGCATGGGGTGGTCATGGGACACCCTCCTCTTCAAGTCCTCAAAGAATCCGCAGAAAGCATGAAGAAGCCAAACAGAATCTGGGTGCCAATGTTCGGCCAACTGGCCCAAAAGGGTTTGTCCTTTTTCTGCAAGTCGGATTCGCCACCACAGAATGTTTTTTGGAGGAGGCAAATGTTGATTGAAAAAGTGCACCAAGTTACACCAGAAACATCCAAAAGACCGAACTCGCCAAGCCTCTGGAAATCGATGCGGGACAACCGTATGGGTCACCGAGTGTGGCCTAGACGCGTCGCAAAGCGTCAACGATGGGAAGAACCGTGGAGCGGATCGGACACTTGAACATTTACATCAATTGAGTAAAAACCACCATAACACACCCTTGCCACCGACCCTAAATCTTTATGCTGCGGGACCTCCGTCATCCAAACGGGTGGAAGAGGGTGAGAGCACACGCCTAAAAGGCTGGAGCTGCGCCCTCGCGCATGCCAGCCAGAACCCCAGGTTTGGTGAACCTTCTGTTTCTTAACCACCCTTCCAGTAAAACATACGGGTACCAACCCAAACCAATTTGGCCGCATCTAGCAGTTGTCCTCGTGTCGGGACCCACACCTGTTTTCTTTCGCCCTTCTTGTCGTACTAAGAAAATTCAATATCAACCAACCAGATCAGGAACTGTCTACCTGCAAGTGGTCTGTGTTGGTTCCCCTTCTCCATCTTTTCAGATGATCCATCATGGTCCTTTCCGACTACCAATATGGCGAAGCAAGCTTGATTTGCCACCTACCCAGCATGCCTGTTGTCCATCGGAAGATAGTCTTCACCAAACATCCTGGGCTGGCAATGGGTGAGGTGACTGTGGCAAGGCAAACACGAGCAACTCAGTGCCAAAGTCTGGTTGAAATGTTGATCAGTCCTGTACAACCACTGCGTTGAAAACACATCCACTTTTGAGGAGTTTTAAGGGCGTGGACATAGCGCTCCAGGTGTGTCCAAGTTTCTCCTTGACCAGCCTCTTGCGAAGCTGCAACCAATCCACCTCTGGTGGCAACAAATTGTAAGGGGTGCAGCCCGTCTGCTTCGAGCCATTGGCAGGGCAGAAGTCCTCCAGGGGGGAAGGCAATTCGCTTGCTGCCTGTGCAAGAATAGATGTTTGAGTTTGGTAGGCAGCTTGGCGAAAGCTGTAGGCATCGATAGTAGATCATAGCGGTTTAGGGGTGCCAACGGTTTTCCCGCCTGCTTTGTCTTGGGGTGTCGGTGTCTCACACGGTGTCTCGAAGTGAGTCTTTAAAGAGATACAAGTAAAGAACCTGGACTTGAAGTAGTGAAAGGCGATAAGTCTAGTGAAAGGACCTAGAGCCCAGAAGTTTTCAGGTTCCTCCCAACTGGTCCTCCCCATGTGTCCCCACAAGGAAAAGGTGAGCTACCCTGCAGGCAGGAATCAGTGTATCATGGTTTGGTCACTAAACTCCCACTGAAATAGTGACAAGTGACAAGGGTCTTTCTTCCACATTGTTGATTGTAGCCCACTCCCTTAGTTTTGCAATTTGCCTTGTTGTCTGAACCTAGTACAGTCATATTTGTTTTGTATAGTAACTTCATGGCCCCGTCCTTCACAACGGTTTTCCACCAACTCTAAACCGCCACCGGTTGTGGTCCTGCCACTCCGAGCTGCACACGAAGGCGCTCCCTCGCGGTGCCCCACGGCGTTCACCCGGCTCACCGTTGAAAAACCACAGACTTGCTCAGCATGGATGCCGTATGTCTGATCTGTAGCATGTTCAGTCCCGTGGACCCTCGGGGAATGGATCGAGTCCGTGCACCGAGGATTCCTGGATTCCTTTGAACTTCTCTTGGATTCCTTCAGAATATTTTGACCGAGGCTTGAAGCCATCGCGACCGTTGCTTGTGCACATGTCTAGAAGCTTTGAAGTTTGAACGTTTGAACCGCCTCTAGATCAAAAATGTGTTGAATGTCGTGCACTTCGGGGAATAAGAAAACCCGGTGTTTCCCAAGTTTCACCGAAACTTCGCCCGCCTCTCCGCCATAGGAGGGTAACACTCACTACACAATGAACGAGAACGGTGTTCAGCGACCTGCATGATCCGCAAGTAGCTGCAGTCAAGGGCTCCATATTCGGATGGATGGGGGTCATGTTTTCTAGGCCATCTATATAACGCAATAAGATCGGTCAGGAGCCCTGCATCTACCACGCTTTGGTATTTGGGGGATTGTTAGACAACCAATGACTTCGACAAGGCAGCAGAGATAGACGGTGCATCCTGCGGCTTGACGTGCAGGCGGCAGACGTGTCCTCCAAAGTGTGTTTTAGATATCCACCCTCTCATAGTTGTTCTATATACAGTATGTTGAGGCTACCTTGGTCCCCTTTGCAGCACTGCCTCGCCATCGCTCAAGCAGCGGGGCAAAACCGGAACTGTTCCGAACAACCCGTCGCTTTAGCTCGAGCCAATGACCGTTTCGTGTGGAAGATTTGGAGTATAAGGTGTGGCCGAAAAGACTCACAGTAAGCATCTCGAAGAAAAGTAACAAACAAAAAAAATACAAAACAAAAAGGAACTTATCAACAAAACGTGCAAGAAAAACCACTCAATCGACCTACCGGAATAGATAGATAGATAGACAGATAGACAGATAGATAAATTCATTGATTGATTGACTGACTGACTGACTGACTGGTTGTTTGATATGTTTATATATATATATATATAGACATAAATATATGTGCACATGTACATGTATACATGTATGCATGTATACATGTACACATCATCATCATCATCATCATCACCATCACCATCATCATCATCTGCATAGATGAAGGGGAAACACCTGCTGTAGAGGTGCTGGTGTGGAGACACGGATGTGGGGCCACACATGTGCTTTGCAAACTGCCTGTGCAAGTGAGCAATTGGTTAACGCCTGCTCTTTGTTGACACGTCAGAGGCTGGTGCGGCATTGGGGTGAGTCTTGTGCAGCACTTGTTTTGATAAGTGTCCACTTGATTTTACCACTTGAGGCCGGGGGTTGGTGACGAAAGCTGGCATGGCTTGGAAACTGGAAACGGGATGTGGCGAGAGGCATTGGAGACCGCTATTCTACATTTTTATGTTATGGAATATTATTGAAGGCCTCTTGCTGCCAAATGACCTAGTGGATTGTAGGGGGAGTTGAACCCGCCGGGAGTTGACACGAAGCGCGCAACGCAGTGGATTTCCCTTGGAAAGAACATGGTCTCAGAGAGGTCCAACGGACAGTGCTCGGACAACGAATCAAGTGCGGCGTCACGCGTGAAGCAAGCGGCTTTTCAGTCTTGAGCCACATGTGGCAGTCATGTACATACACAAGATGTGAGACCAGACAGAGGTTAGTCATCAGAAGAAGGAAACACAAAACAGACACAATTGTCCTAACCCCTCTGCATGAAATTGCCTTGGTCGATATTGACTTCACGGTTCGATATTAAATTACTATCTATTTTCATTTTCAAGAGTTCATATTGAAATCCATCTATGTACAAAAACCATATGTACATGTCCTAAACGAAAGTGAGACCGAAAGCATCGAACGCATAAGGGCAAAGCCCTTCAAGAATCTATTTTTCGAGCAAAAGCTCATGGCCTTCAAGTTCAACAATCAGTACTTCCGGATGCTGCGGACTGAGTGCGCTGGATTGCAACTTGCAAAGGATATAGCGCCAGCTCTGGTCATTCTGTCCGATCAGCAGTGCTTCTTGTGGAAGGTGCTTAAATCGTTCATTGGGCTCGACAGTATAGGGCAACTTTGGCGCCGGACGCACTGCTCCATTATAGGAATCAAACTCATCCTTGTCATCAAGGCTTGGGTCAAAAATCAATCACTGATATGTCTCGTTCATATCGGTTCCCCTGCTATCGCCCTTGGCGTACTTATGCAAACGGTGTGCTGATGACCGGCCCACTTGATCCACGAGATCACGGCGCCGAAGATTGAGTCGTACTGACCTGGGTGGAAACGCTGGAAATAGGTATTGGTCACGACAGTTCTATTCCTCTCCTTGTGTTGGAGATGAAGGTCAATCCACTTGGCCTTAAAGATAGCTGGCGTTGATGAGTGCATGGATGCATTGTTTCTTAGATGCGACAGCTGCTGGTTACTAAGATAGCGCCGGTTGATGTTGGTCATGAAGGAACGAAGATAGTGATGGATCAAACCACATCGGACGCCCATAATGGTCTGGTCATCAAAACATCGATTCACGGCAAGGTTGCCATCACCGGTCAAATAATCAACGTGCATGGTCAAACAGTTTCGAATGAAACGGGAGAGGCATGAAGCGACCTTAGGCATACTCGAAACCTGGTTAGGTTCCTAGAGCATGTGAAAAGGTGACATGTAAGTGAACATGGTTGTGTACGTGTATGTACGTGTACCAGGCTCCCTGACTGCTCCTTTTGCTGCGTGGATGGTCGTGATCACGTGAAACTGGGTCAACCCGGCTGGAGCCATATCGACAGGTCAGGTGCAAATCGAGTCGGCTGGGTTCTTTGTTGGAGATCAGTAGCTGCCTCAGTATCTCTAAAGTTGTACTCTTTGGGGTTCACATGGGTTACCTTTGGTTCAAAGTGTACTGTAAACTGGTGGCAGCAGTTGATCTCCAAGGAACCGGGTGAGAGGAAGTCCTACGAACGGCACGAAGGCTTATTGCAGCGGCTGCTGCAGTGTGCAAGTGCACGCGCAAGATCTTCCGTCTGGTGCTCAAGAGATATGTTTCACTCCTGAGGACTTGTGCTCCAACTCGGGTCGGCTGTCGCAACTTTTGGGAGCTGCTTCAACTTACGCGAGTTGTTGGGCCTTGAACTGCCGATGGCATGCGATGAATCCTTCCATCGCTTTCTCAAGGGCTTCTCTCGACACTGAGCCCTTTGTCATGCCGTCGGCGATCATGTCTCTGGTATCTGCCCAAGCCAATTTCAAGATGCCTCTCTGAAGCTGTTGGCGATACCATCTGAGATGGACCACAAGGCTGTTCTCGGCCGGCACCTTCAGGGTTGGTGCCACGATGGCCGAAGTGACACTCATCGCGTCCAGTACGATGTGCAGGTCTATTGGAGACCGTGTGTCACCTGTCAAGATATTGTGAGCTTCACTCTCGCTCAAACTGTTTTGACGCAGCTCATGGAGTGCCAGTCTGGTGAGGGTAGTGGCATCCACTGCATCTGTCGAGGCAAACAGTTCTGAAGCGAAGGTGGATCTTGTGACATGGCGCTGTGATTTTGATGCGCACTCAATCACATGGCATTTGAGATCCACTTGAGTACTCGCCCCTCTATAGAGTTGGTTGACATGACGTGGTCATCCTTACTGCAAGCATTCCGCGAACACTAAGGCCTGAATCTGATTTGGCCTGAAAACCAGAATCGCTGTAGACCACGAAGCTGGTTGGGTACTCCATCTTTCGGTAGACCAGCTTGCGAGGATTTTGCTTCATCCATCGCACAAGGTGATTTAATCTCTTCACGTGGATAGGTTGCGCAATATGGCTGACCCTTTGCAATGCAGTGACGTAGACTGCAATGTCAAGGCGTGTCAGTAGGGCATATGCCACAGTCATTAAAAGACTTAAGAACTGTCTGCGGACATCTTCTGACAAGTACTCTTCCTTCATTGACACTGGTGTCACAGTCATCTCTTTGATGGCTGCAATGAAGGAAGTTTGATCCAAGGCAATAGCTTCTGCGGTTTGCTGGTGGCGGATGCCACAGAATGTGAAGTTCTCAAACTCCAGACCGAGTTTGCCAAATGCAAAGGAGAGATACTCCACTAGTTCTAGCACGTGCTTCTTTGGGCCTGCGATCTTAAGATCTTCTACGTGCTTCAGCAGCAGAAGGCATATCTTGCCATTGGAGTCCAACAAGTACTCAAGTTCACTATCCATCAGCGTGGATTTCAGTCCATACTTTGCTGTGGCCTTTCTCAACTTCATGCTCCAAGCACGTGGAGCATCCCTGCATCCGGTGCCTGGCTTTGTGCATCTAAGCACCTCAGTGGCAGGATTGAAGTTCTCGAAGCCTGGCAGCTGTCTTAGCCACACAGTTCAAAGCTGACTTGGCGTTCTGGGCGTCCTGTCTCTTGTGCCAATTCGGCATAAGTGACTCCCTGCAAGAAGGCTTTTGGGATGTCGGTGGATCCCAGGATCCAACCACGAACCACCGTTTCAGACACAAGGAGGCGCTGGCTCAGCCTGGTGGCTGTTGGTGATGTATTCACGTCATCGTCTGCTCCTGTGTCCTTAAAGCCTCGAATGCATAGCCTTGCTCTGATGAACCTCTTACCACCTTTAATCTTCCACTTATATACCCACTTAACATCTATCACATTATGAGCTTGATGCCTTGGCTGGCGCTCAAAGCATTGGTAGCCTTGCCATACCTTTAGCTCATCAAGGATAGCTTGGACAAGTTCTGGCGCATGGGTTACTTCTTCCTCTTTGGTGAGGAGATCATCACTACGATCAATCACTGCCTTACGAGTGTGGGTTTGATAGCAGCTCAACATGTTCATGTGGGCCTGGCAGCCTAGGCAAACCTTCGATGACCTTGCACATGTTGCCGTAAGCTTCAAGGGCAACATATGAACCTCGTTCATCTTCATCAATACTGGGGTTCGAGTCACGAAGTGCATCTTGTAGGCTGTCTGCGAATGCTTCCTCAGCAAGGAAACTCTTTTGCGTTTCGGCTTCTACTTCATACCATTCTGGAACATCAGCTTCTGCGGCTGCTTGAAGGCTGGCGAGATTGGTCTTGGATGCCTCCAAGTCGGGCAGCTCTTGGGTATCCTTATGCTCATTGAAGCATACGAATGCTTCTGCGAGTTCTTGGATGGCCGGATGGCTGGCTTGGGCGCCGAAGACTTGGTTCAACTCTTGGAAGCTCACAAGTGCATCTTCTGAGCCTCCTTCGTTGCTCCCTTCAGGGATTGTGCTCAGTGGGCCTCCAACACTCATACTTCTTGGAGTGGTGTTGGATGTGGAGTCGTTGGTGTCGACGTCCATGGCAGCGACATCGGCGTGGCCTCTATGGCTCCCAATGAGCCATTCTTCTGTGTCAGGCGCCTGCAAGCATTGGATGAACCGGGTGTTCACCCATTCGCTTCCTGCGAGACCTGAGAACGAAACATTGGTGCTCTGGCTTTGGAAAAACTGCAATGCTTTAGTTCCTGGTGCGGTCCAATGGATCGTCAGCGATCCGGTGTATTCTTCTTTTGCTGGGATGTGCTTGACTCCTAGACCACATCTTGCTGCCACTATGTTAGTGATGTTAAACACGTTCCTTGCAACATGCATGATGGCGGCAAAGAGACCTTGATGTTGTTTGGTGGTCCTTGGAAGAGGTAATGCCCGAAATTGGTTTCCCCATTGAACACGTTTACAGCTCCACCCGATGCATACACACGCTGCAAGGAACAACATTC